GCTGTCGATCCACCTCCCTCCCCGGCTTCCCCTTCGCCGAACACCACTATCACCGACCGCGTCTTCCTCGACTTCAGCATTTGCCCAACCAACTTCCTTCCCAACCGTGAATCCGCCGATGATGGCGGCGATTCCATCCTCTGCTCCGATTCCGCCCTCCTCGGTCGCCTCGTTCTCGGCCTCTACGGCCACCTGGTTCCAATCACCGTCGCCAATTTCAAATCCATGTGTACCGGATCCTGCGGCTCCTCCTATAAGGGCACTTTGGTCCACAAAATCTTCCCAGGCCAATTCTTCCTCGCCGGTCGACAGGGCCGCCGCGACAAAGGAGCAGTCCGGCCACCGCAACAATTACCGAGAAATACGGAGACGGTGAAGTCCGATTCGTTCTTGCTTTCACATTCGAGAGGCGGCATTGTTTCATTGTGCCTTTCGGAGAACGACGACGACGACGAATTGAAATTGGATCCCAATTATCACAATGTGGAATTCTTGATCACCACCGGCCCTGGCCCCTGCCCCCAGCTTGATAACGAGAACATTGTCTTCGGAACTGTGCTTGAAGGTACAAATTCAAACTGATCTCTCACAATTTCCTCTTTACATTTTAAATTTGATCCTTATGATTAGTTTTAGAAGTTTCAATTAGTCAGTTTTATAATCCTGCATGCCATTTCGAATCCAATCCATTTAACACATCATTAGCTCACAAGGGACGTATATGTTCGAGAATTACTGGGAGACTTTCGTTAGTTGATCATGGGTTTATAAGTAAAGTCCATTGGTATAGAAAAGTCAAAGTTGATCTTATGCTTAAAGTAGACAATATCGTACCATTGTTGAGGATCGTGATTTCTAATATGGTATTAGAGCCATGTCCTTAATTTATTCATGTCAATAGAACTCTCAACTGTGGAAAAAAGAAATTGCTAGCATCGAAGGTGATTAATGTGTCAAACAAAGGTGATTAATGTGTCAAACAAAAGTGACTAATGTGTCAAACAAAAGTGTACTTTGTTCGAGGGTTGAGGAGTCGAGCCTCGAATAAGGGGAGCTTGTTCAAGGGCTACATAAACCTTAGGAGAGGCGGCTCTACAGTGTACTTTGTTTGAGGGGAGGATGGTTGGGAATGAGTCACACCTTGGCTAATTTAGGGGTTGATCATGAGTTTATAATAAGAAATATATCTCCATTGGTTTGGGGAAGCTCAAAGCAAACCACTATTATAGAGAGCTGTGATTCTTAATAGTATTCGAGAGTAAAGTTTAATCATATTTATCAATTTCAGATCAAATTGTAAGAAATAAACTTAAGTTTTAAAACTTCTCCAAATTAGAGCTAAGCAAAAAGAGCTGAAATTAGTACAAAAGATTTTTGATATCTGTGTAAAATTTGGGAGTTTCAGGTCTGGATGTTGTGGCAGCCATATCCTCAACTCCAACATACAAGCCATCTGAGAGAATTAGGCAATTCAATGATTTGGCTAAGTTCTTGGGAGATGAAAGGGCTCAAAATGCAAGAACAATATGGAACAGACCTCTCCAAACCGTTTATATCAGTGACTGTGGAGAGCTCAAAGTTGCAAAGCCTTCACTGTCCCCAACTCTGCCTTAAACACAGCCCCTTGCCCTTTGTTATCTCTCAAGGTTCCATTTCTTTTCCTTCTCATATTTCTTTGTGTTCTTCTGTGAAAATTGGACATTCCATCCCCATGTTTTTGTTTTCTCACATGAACAAAGGGCTAACCTGGCCTCTGTTTTTGTTTTCTCACATGGACAAAGGGCTAACCTGGCCTCTGTTTTTGTTTTGACCACTGTCTGTGCTCAAACCAATCGGGAATCAAATTTTGATGTCAATACTGTTGACGTTTTATATGCTAAAGAAAGCACAAATTGGTTGTTGTTCACTCATTGTTATTGTTTTTGTCCGGTTCGTTATATGTGAGATCTCATATCGGTTGGGGAGGGGAACAAAACATTCCTTATAAGGGTGTGGAAACCTCTCTTTAACCGACGTGTTTTAAAACCGTGAGGTTGACGATGATACGAAACGCACCAAAGCGGACAATATCTGCTAGCGTTGGACTTGGGCTGTTACAAAATGGTATCAGAGCCAGACACTGGGGCGGTGTGTTAGTGAGGACACTGGGCCTCCAAGAGGGTGGATTGTGAGTTTTCATATTGGTTGGAGTGGAGAACGAAACATTCTTTATAAGACTGTGGAAACTTCTCCCTAATAGATGTGTTTTAAAACCGTGAAACTGACAACGATATGAAATGGGCCAAAACAGACAATATCTACTGGAGGTGGGCTTGGACTGTTACCTTTTATATCCAATTTTTTAGAAGCAAATGTGTATCTAATGCTTTGTTGGAGTTATTTACCTAAGTTTCCAACCCATGTTCAACAAATGTTAGAATTATATTAAATTTGTTTAAATACTGTTTAATGTTTTTGACATAGTTTCCAGCACGAATATGAATATGAATATGAACACGAACACGAACACATTATCTCAAACTAGAGTGTCTACACTATCAAAGAGACTTTACACTAGCTAGCCATAGATATTTGAAGGATAATCTCTCCTAAGAAGTAGTACCCAAAATTGCCTTGGACTACCAAACTCCCCAACTCATTCTGTTTATAATCATTGTACTCTAATAAGTTAGTCATGTAATTATAAATATGTCGGTTATTATTTCATTTGTTTATTAGTATTTCTAATATTAATTTACCTTATTCTCTTGATAGAATGAAGCCTATATTTTGAAAGTCGTTAACCGAAACATAAGTTAGCTAGTTAAGACATTATATTATCGATCAAAAAAGTAAGATGTTTGAATCTCATTGTGAGATTTCACATCAATTGGAGAGATGAAGAATGTTGGCGTGAATGTTGTGCCCTGAAGGAGGTGGACAGTGAGTGGTGTGCCATCAAGGACACTAGACCCCAAAGGGGGATTGTGCAATATCCCATATCAATTGGAGAGGGGAATGAGTGTCACCAAAGACCCTAGGTCCCGAAGGGGGTGGATTGTGAGATCCTACATCAGTTGGAGAGAAGAACAAAATATTCTTTATAGGAGTGTAAAAACCTCTTCATAGCATACGCGTTTTAAAAACTTTGAGGGGAAGTCCGAAAGAGAAAGCCCAAAGAAGATAATATTTGTTAGTGGTGAACTTATTACTTTCTTTCTCGTTCCATTTATTTATCTTTTCATCATCTTTCATTTGTGTTCTATGTAAATGAAAATTTCATCTCCTTATTTTTGTCCAGGCTTTGGTTTATTTGGATCATTGTTTGTGTTGGAATTTTAGAGTCATCATTTGAAAATGATGATCAAATATGGCTCGTACTCTTTCATGCAAGCCCTACTCAGCTCAATGTGTTATAACTAATTAGGTCATTGTCATTATGAGTTGGATGCCAACTTGCCCACATGATACAATAGCATTGTATATCAAAAGCTGATGACTAACTTTTTAAAAGCAACGAAAGACGTTCAAAACATGCTACTAAAAGATCTCATTGATATCAAGATTGGTTGTCAATAATATAAAGAAGATACTAAATCGCTCTCTCAAATTCTCACGAAAGAAAGAAAGTAACATGGAGGTATGGTGACCCGATCTACAACAAATTTTAAAGCATTTTTCTTATAATAGGTTTAGCAAAGTGACAAAAAGTTTCTTAACCAAAAGTACAAATATAAACCAACCAAATATAATCTAGAGCATCTGACTATGATAGCATCAATTTGAACGAACATGATTCTGATAAATAACACGTTAAATTTCAATCATGAAAGCACGATTGCTCGTTGTATGTATAAATTATTCATAAAAAATAATATTTGTATGCTAGTTGTATAGTACTACTTTAGACATAGAGTTACACTCTTATATATTGGTAGAACAAGTTGTGTCAATACATATAATCATTATAAGCAAGTCGATCATTTACAAGTTGTTCATAAGCTTTACCACTTTAAATACATTTTATACATTTAGTAACTCTGATACTCTAATGAATAATTTGTTTACGATCCAACAATAAAACAAGTCTCTCATTGTTTAAGTCCCAAAATTAAAACATAAGTGAACAACTACTCGTCTACTAATCATATATGGAAATAACTGAATTTCATCTCGTATAATTATATTATCAGCTCTCGATCAAATCTATAAGATAACAGACCTACTGAATCAACGGTAAAATTCATTCTCACTCATATAAATCAAACCACGAGCTCTTATGAATCACATAATTTTGAAAAGTAACGAGAAAGAGAACTAGAAGAGTGAGGTCGAACGTAAGTAGTGTGAAACTAGAAGAGTGCCCCAGTTTATTTGGGATAATTAATTTTTAGTCTATAAAAAAAATATTAATTAAATGAAAAAAAATCAATAGTTTCAATCCATGGACAATAAATAATAAATCAAATTTATAAGCATATCCATTGGCATAATTATCTTCACTTAAAAACTATATTTTCATTTTTTTAGAAAAATAATTATTGTAAAAATTCATAAAGAATTGATGCAAATTTTATATTTCAATATTTTAATATAGACTTTCCATCCTAAAATATAAGTTAAATTTTAATTAATTAATTAATTTTTATTTGAAGACAAATTAAAAATGGTAATCGAATAAAATCTACAATCTCAAATTTATTTATTTGTTTTCATTAAATTATAAATCAATTTCAATATATATTTTAAAAGATTATCTCGTAAAAAAAATTATTTTTAAAATTAAAAGCTACAGTAATATTATTGTGAGGTTCACGATAATATGTAATATTTGTTAATAGTAGATTTGAGCTATTACACATAATGTTAAAAGTCAAATATTGAGTGGTGTGACATTTGCCGAGGAAATAAAACAGTGAGGCTGGTGACATTGTTACAACCCTAAGGAAAGTGGGGATGTTGCTTGTTAGTCTTTTTAAACTCTGAAATCCACACCAATTAAAAATGATGGGTCTCTATACACTTTACCTTGGAGTAACTACATTTCTTGTTATTGTACGCTTTCTCGCCTTCAATGGCGGGGACCCGCTTGTGTTTGTTACCCTCATCACTCCCCAGCTTCTTGTCCTTCTTACTTATTTTAATTCCTCCCACTCCCACTCCCCTATCTTCGATTTCACCAGATTTTATTCACTTGTTCTTCATGTTCCTCGTTTTTCTTCTTCTGGGTTTTCTGTTTATTTGCTCCAAACCACAGATTTCGTTGGTTTCGAGTTGTAATCCTTAATGGGGTTTGGTTTCTCTGTTTCTCTCTGTCTCAGTTCATCTGGGGTTTGGTTGATTTTGATGAAACTCTGAAACTAGGTCGATTTTGAGTTGAAATCGGTGCGGATTTGAGAATTTTTGTTGGGTTTCTTCATTTTCTTCTCGTTTTTCTGTTTTGATTCATTTTCTGAAACTGAGAAACTTCATTGATTCTGAGTTGAACTCTGTTTCTTCTTCTTCTTGTTCTTCTGCGATTGGGTTCTGATTCAAATGCAGAAAACAAATGAGAAACATGATGGATTTTGAGTTCAAATTAGTGTGGATTTGAGAATTTTTGCTTGGATTCTTCGTTTTCTTCTCGTTTTTTCTGTAATGGGTATTTCTGATTCATTTTCTGAAACTGAGAAACTCCATTGATTCTGAGTTGAACTCTGTTTCTTCTTGTTCTTCTGCGATTGGGTTCTGATTCAAATACAGAAAAAAACTGAGAAATCTGATGGATTTTGAGTTCAAATTAGTGTGGATTTGAGCATTTTTGCTGGGTTTCTTCGATTTCTTCCCGTTTTTCTGTAATGGATATTTCTGATTCAAATGCTGATAAGAACAGAGAAACTTGATGGATTTTGAGTCGAAATCCTCTTAATCGAGGACGTTTTCGCCTCTGTTCTTCGGTTCTGATAAAAGTTCTGCAGATTTTGAATTGAAATCTCAACGGGGTTGATTCCGAGTTTCAATTCCGGCAAGTTTTCACAAATCAATGGCCGGAATGTTGCCGGGAGTAGAATGCGCCAGAAGGCGGCGGTTCCACCAGAGCATAACCTCATCGGACTCGCCGTCCACGGCGGCGAAATTAGGATCCACAAGAAGGCCGTCGTTCTGTTTGTACACGAGCAACCGTGATTTTCACATCACTTCATCATCATCATCATCTCGTTCACAGGTATGAACGAAAGAAATGTAAGAATTTTTCTGTTTGTTTGGTGGGAAAATTCTGATGAATGTTGAACATAAAATTAAGCAACGGAGCTCATCCAATCAAGCTTACCAGACCGAGAAGCTTGGTGAAATTGCAAGAGAAGCTAAGGAACGGTTGGATGAGAGGTTGAAATCTCATAGAAAACCTCAAAATCCAAGGTAATTTCTTCTCAATTTTATTATACTAAATTGTATGATTGATTATTCGAACTCTTAGAACTATAAGAACAAGTCGAAACAGGAACCAAATTTGAAATTAAACCTAAAATCAACGTCAAAATCGGAAATAATCATACAGAAAAAAGAGTGGAGAAGGGTCGAAGAAATGGTCAGAACAGAAAGAAAAGGCGAAGGGGAAAGAAGAATCAATAACGAAGAAGAGGTTCACTTGGGGGAAGCTGATGAAATGGAAAGCCTCGGAGCAACAAGAGTGCGCTGTTTGTCTGGAAGGGTTCAGAGCGGGCGAGCCGCTGGTCCATCTTCCATGTGCTCACAAGTTCCACTCTGCGTGCTTCGTGCCTTGGCTCCAAGCCAATCACCATTGCCCTTGCTGCAGATTTTTTATATTCTAAATAAAATAATTTTTATTTTTGTCTACCAAATAGTTATAAATATCTGTCATAAGATAAGAAACCACTACAAGGAGAGTAAGATTCGGATTACCTTGTTGATCGAATATCTCAAGGCAAGAACATTGTTTGAGATTCGAATTACTCCACAAGCAAGATCGATCATGTCTAGCTTAAATGATTCTTGTTGATCAAATATCTCAAGGCAAGAACACTTCCATGAGATTCGAATCACTCCACAAGCAAGATTGATCATGTCGAGCTTGAATGATTCTACATGCAACCTAAACTACATAGAATTGCAAAGAAACTTAGCCATTGGCTAAAGAAGAGCACAAATGCTTCTTTTTACTATATTTTTCCAAGTCTCTTCCACATACAACATACATGGCTTTATATAGCCTCAAAATGAAACTACTAAAGTCATTCCAAGAGTTGTAACATTCATACTTAATGGCCATAATTAACCATTATGTAATTGTAACCTATAGTAAATAAAGTCTTAAAATACATAAATGAAATACAATAACTCTAAATTGTAACCCACCCAAAATTTATAACAATCAAACTTCATTCTTCTTCAATGTGGCATGAATTGAAACATCTTTTGATAATTTTGACAACCTTTTCTTCACATCTTCATTGAAGTATATTGTATGATTGATGTCTTTTGGTTCATATCATTCTCCACTTCTTCAAGAGGATTCGTCCTCGAATCTATTTGTGAAACTTTGCTGCAAAAAATAAGTTATGAAAATACAAAGGACCTCACAACACTCTCTCACGTGTATACACTCAAGGAATTTTAGGCCACTCTGTTTGCACTCATTTACACAAACGAATCTCTCATCCTCACCTCTCAAATTTTCTAAGATGAAATTGCATTAATATACGACAAAATCAAATTAAAATATTTAAATATGATATGCAGAAAATAAAATATTGTATTAAATTTTTTTAGAAAATGGAATAAAATCAGGTCTAACTGGTGATTAGCCTTACACAATTTAATTCATTTTATAATACAAAATACAATTTAATTCATTTTATAATACAAAAAATATTTTTTTTTATAATTAGAAATAAACCAATAATTTTCCCTCGACATAAAATTTAATTTTTATATTTAATAAATAAGTTATTAATTTTTAAATAATATTGAATATACATATTCAACCCAAAACTCAAAATTCATATTTACAAATCTCAAAATTAGAAATCTATTAAATACTTTTAAACTTATTGAATTATTAAATTTAAATTTCAACTAAATTTATTTTTGAGATATAGCCCATTTAAATTTTTATTAAATAAAAAATATTTTCAATAAAATAAAGACCACATTTTTTCTTAAAAAAAAAATAATTGACTAATTTTATATTTTTAATTAAAATGTGACTATTTCCATCTCTATGCCCTCCGTCTCTATCTATCTTTCACAGATGGCCCGGCCCATGTTTTCTTTCTTTTATTCGGACCGGCCCATCCCGGCCCAGCCCAGCCCAATTTATTTTATTTTATTTTTCAGACAAATAACTTCGAAATTGCTCGATAAACCCTCTCCCCTCCCGTTTCAATACCCTTCTTTCAGCATTCGGTCTACCGTAACGCACCATAGTTGTTTTGTACAAGCTTTCTCTGTCTTTGAGGTAAGCATAGTTGAATTTCTATTGATTCGTGGTAAGCATAGTTCGATTTGCACGAATCCAAACTTACTTCGCTAATGAATGAACTGGAAATTTTCTGAATACTGGGAGATATGAGAGCCCATTTCACTCTGTTTTCAGTGTTAGAAGAACAGATGTATTTACTGTTCCTAACGTTCATTGATATAGTTGCATTTTTTCCCGCTAATTTTATGTTTTTTTTTTCTTAATGTGGTGTGGGTTTCAATTTTGGTGTCATTAGGAGGATTAGAGAGTTTATTGGGTGTATAGTTTGGAAATTAGTTTAGGGTTTAGGGTTTAGGGTTTAGGTAACTGGAGAGAAAAAAATGAAAGGGCTGGGAGAGAGAAGGAGAGAGTGCGGTGGAGGGAAGGGGGAGTTTGGAGTACCTGCCACAACCCTTAAAAAAACCCTAATTCATTGTTCTTTACTGGAGTGTCTGATCTTTTAGTTTTGGCTTGATTGATAATGCATTATGCAACTTTTCATCCTATCAATGAAGAGTGTTTCTTGTATAAAAAGTAAGGAAAGTTCTGTCTTTCTGCTTGTTGATTATTTCCCTCTCAAATGTATAAAAAAATAGGCATCAATCACAGACTGTATTTAGTAGCTACATTAGCGAATTCCAAGCCTTTTTAGTTAAATAGATTGCAACATAAAGTTACTTTCTCATGTAATATTGCAGCTTTGAGAATACTAAGCATGGATGATAGCTTGTATGATGAGTTTGGGAACTACATAGGGCCAGAAATTGATTCTGACAAGGATAGTGACATAGAAGATGAAGATGAAGACCTTATGGAGAAGCCGGACGATGATGAAGGTGCATCAGATGATGAAGATGCAGGTGGTGCTTCAAATGGTTGGATTACGACGTCTAATGACGTCGATATGGACAACCAGATTGTCCTTGCTGAGGACAAAAAGTATTATCCAACTGCAGAAGAGGTTTATGGTGATGATGTTGAAACATTGGTTATGGATGAAGATGAACTACCACTTGAGCAACCAATCATTAAGCCTGTTAGAAATATAAAGTTTGAGGTTGGGGTAAAAGATTCTAGCACTTACGTTTCAAACCAATTTCTGGTGGGTCTCATGTCCAATCCAACATTGGTTCGCAATGTTGCACTTGTAGGCCACTTGCATCATGGAAAGACAGTTTTCATGGATATGTTGGTTGAGCAAACTCATCACATGTCAACATTTGATATTAAAGGAGAGAAACATCTGAGGTACACAGATACAAGGATTGACGAGCAGGAGAGAGGAATATCAATTAAAGCAGTTCCTATGTCACTAGTCCTCGAGGACGGCAATTCAAAATCATACCTTTGCAATATAATGGACACCCCTGGCCATACCAATTTTTCTGATGAAATGACTGCTGCTCTTAGACTGGCTGATGGTGCAGTGTTGATTGTCGATGCTGCTGAAGGAGTTATGGTAAGTAAATAAGTCCCGATCGTAGTTTTTTTTTATTTACTTTTAGCTTTATATATGCTGACTTTTAGATTTTTTTGCATAATCAATAGTTGCGAGGGAATTAGCAAATTTCCCTTTTATTTTCTTAGTGGTTTAAACATCATTTCATATCCCAATTTACTTTCACCTGTGGCTAGGGCACCTCATTTTAGCATCAGTGGAGGAGGACTTAATGCTCTTTGCATATGTTTAGGATTTCTGCAATCATTTTACTGCAATATTTAACCATATAAACAGTGTGGGTTGTTCGATATTCCTTGCATGTAGTTTCTATTTATATTATGAAATTACTGATATTGCTGTCTTATGGAGAGAACTCTGAGGATGGGATAATAGATTCATTAATGAGAATGTACTCTACAACCTACAGGTCAATACAGAGAGGGCTATGCGCCATGCAATTCAGGAGCGATTGCCCATTGTTGTTGTAATTAACAAGGTTAGCCTACTGGACTCCTTTAAAGTTCCTATTAGATTTTTGAAAGTTGGATCCCTTCAAACACCACATGTTTATTTTATACTAATGCAGTATTTGTATCTAGGTTGACAAGCTGATTACAGAACTCAAATTGCCCCCAAGGGATGCATACTATAAATTAAGGCATACGTTAGAAGTTATTAATAACTATATATCTGCTGCCTCATCTACTGCTGGAAATGTCCAAGTCATTGACCCAGCAGCTGGAAACGTGTGTTTTGCTAGTGCTACTGCAGGATGGTCATTTACTTTGCAATCATTTGCAAAGTTATATGTCAAACTTCATGGAATCCCTTTTGATGCTGATAAGTTTGCATCTCGTCTTTGGGGAGACTACTATTTTCATTCTGATACCAGAGGATTCAAGAAAAAACCACCTGCAAGTGGAGGGGAAAGGTCATTTGTCCAATTTGTGCTAGAGCCACTATACAAAATATATAGTCAAGTCATTGGTGAACATAGGAAAAGTGTTGAGACTACTCTTTCAGAGCTTGGTGTTACTCTTAGCAATGCAGCTTACAAGTTGAATGTCAGGCCTTTGCTGAGACTGGCTTGTAGTTCAGTTTTTGGTGGAGCTTCAGGATTCACTGACATGCTTGTTCAGCACATACCTTCTCCCAGGGATTCTTCTTCTCGGAAGGTTGATCATATTTATACTGGGCCTAAAGACTCTGTGATATACAAAGCAATGAAGGAATGTGATCCTTCTGGGCCTTTAATGGTCAATGTCACCAAGCTATATCCCAAGTCAGACTGCAGTGTCTTTGATGCATTTGGTAGGGTTTATAGTGGTAAGATTCAAACGGGGCAGACTGTTCGGGTATTGGGTGAAGGCTATTCACCAGAGGATGAGGAAGATATGACAGTGAAGGAAGTAACAAAATTATGGCTTTATCAAGCTCGAGACAGGATTCCCATTGCTGAGGCTCCTCCTGGATCTTGGGTTCTCATTGAGGGAGTGGATGCATCTATTATGAAAACTGCAACTCTGTCTAATGTAGATTACGATGAGGACGTTTACATATTCCGACCACTTCAATTCAATACCCTTCCTGTGGTGAAAACAGCTACAGAGCCTCTAAATCCAAGTGAGTTACCAAAGATGGTAGAGGGTCTTCGGAAGATCAGCAAAAGTTATCCTCTGGCAATAACTAAAGTTGAGGAATCAGGTGAGCATACCATTTTAGGCACAGGAGAGCTGTACTTGGATTCAATTATGAAGGATCTTAGAGAACTCTATTCGGAAGTAGAGGTCAAGGTATTCTTTTACTCAATTGTCCCTCTCTTCTTGTTCCCCCTTTTTTTCTTTTTTCTTTGTTCTTCTCTGATGGATATTCTCTGTAACCCATTATATAGGTAGCCGATCCGGTCGTCTCATTTTGTGAAACAGTTGTAGAGTCTTCTTCGATGAAATGTTTTGCTGAGACTCCTAACAAGAAGAATAAAATAACCATGGTAGGCAATTTTCAAAATTGGCTGTTTTTGTTTATTCTGGAGCTTTTAAATTCTTGAAATGTGATCTGGTACTTCAATTTTTTCTCTAGATCGCAGAGCCATTGGAGAGAGGACTTGCAGAAGACATTGAGAATAGTGTAGTAAGTCTTGATTGGTCAAGAAAGAAACTCGGGGATTTCTTCCAGACAAAATATGAGTGGGATTTGCTGGCTGCAAGGTCCATATGGGCATTTGGCCCAGATAAGCAGGTAACTTTTGTAGCTCGTGATCTCTTTACTCAAATATATATCCTCTAAATGTACACATAAGTTGAGGCTTCCTTGCCGAAGGGTAAAAGTGAAACTGGTAATTTTTTACTGCAGATCGACTTTATTTGAAGTATAGTTTTTCATTAGACTTATCCTTCATTAGACATTAATTTTAGCGTCTTCTATGATATAAAGTTTAAGAATTTGATAGGCAGCATGTGTTTGTACTTCATTTTTGTTCTTGATGTTTAAACTTTTAATAAACTTTCAGGGACCTAACATTCTATTAGATGATACGCTCTCTTCTGAAGTAGACAAGAATTTGCTCAATGCCGTCAAGGATTCCATTGTTCAAGGGTAAACTATCTTGATGTCTCTCTCTCTCTTTTCTCGGGGAGGAGGGGACCCAGGGGCTTAGCCCTTTTTTATTGATTTTTTTAAAAAAAAATTCTTGCTTTTTGCCCCTTTTCCCCATTGTAAACCGTTTACTTTAAACAGGTTTCAATGGGGGGCTAGAGAAGGACCACTTTGTGATGAACCCATCAGAAATGTAAAGTTCAAAATCGTTGATGCAAGAATTGCACCTGAGCCATTGCATCGTGGGTCTGGTCAGATCATTCCCACAGCTCGACGTGTGGCCTATTCGTCTTTTCTTATGGCAACCCCACGACTTATGGAACCAGTATACTATGTTGAGGTAACACTTTCTTATTTTATACAGTCAATTTTTTTTTTTCCGCTAACTCTTTAGTGGTGATGAGATTTCTAAATGTTTGTGATGAGGCTTTCTCAGGGTGTGTTTGGGGTGCTTTTGAGAGGTATTTTATTAAAACCACTCTCATAATTGCTTCAACTAAAAGTGCTTAATCAATCACTTTCTTGTTTGGAGAATTGGAGAGAGAATAAATATGTAAAGATATATTTCTAAGTGAAATTGTGTGGGTAATAAGAACTGCAAGAAAAATGTGTAAAAGGAAAGACTACTAAAAGAAAATATGCCCGAGAGAAAAGTTGGTGAGAAGTGTGGAGGGATGTGAGGGAGAGTGTGTGGAGATTAGTGGTTAATTAGTAAAAGCAAGCAGGTAAAAGAAAGTTGAGGTTAGTTAGTAGAAGTAGGTAAAATAAAGTAGAGGTTAATTAGTAAAAGAAAGACAACTTAAAGAAAATATGCCCGAGAGAAATGTTGGTGAGAGAGTGAGAAGTGAGAGAGAGCATGTGGAGGGTCGAGGTTAATTAGTTAAAGGGAAGTTGGTATTATGAATAAATTGTTAGTAGAAAATACTTGATAAAATACAATACCAAGAGAATTATTCTACGAGACTGGTACACTGTGCCTAGCCAATTTACTTTTAGATTTAGGAGAGAGAAACCAAAAATTATGATTCCACCATGCATCCAAGGGTTTGGGGGAGGGGAAGAGGAGCAACCACAATATGAATGGCCATAAAATAATTCTAGGTGTTATCCCTCATTTCACATTTGCCAAAGTCACTAAAAAAGAAGTAATATTGGTTTCTTTGGAAAATACTTTTGGTGTTTTTGACTTTTTTGAAGAGTGCTTCTGAGTTGAATCCAAATCTAAAGCATTTTATGCCAGCATTACAACTCATCTATTGATGTTTTGAGTAATTTCCTTATTATTTCATTGCAGATACAAACACCAATTGATTGTGTCTCTGCAATCTATACTGTCCTATCCCGAAGGCGTGGACATGTTACAGCTGATGTTGCTCAACCAGGGACTCCAGCTTACATCGTCAAGGTTTAATGACTAAACATTTCTTCCTCTTTAACTCAAAATTTTATGGATCATGATAATTACATTCAATATTATTGGATGTTTACCTCTCGACTGTAGTGAACTTGCTGCATTGAATCACTGAGTAGTGACAAACTGCTCTCTATAGTTGAGACGCCCTTGTTCATTTCACTGTCATAGATTTTCGATCTGGTCAATGGGGTTTTATTTTCATGAGTAAGTTTATAGTATATTAAGGCATGATTGACTTAATTGTTTGTTTTACCTTTTACTGCTTTCCAGGCATTTTTACCTGTTATAGAATCTTTTGGCTTTGAAACGGACTTGCGGTATCACACACAAGGCCAAGCTTTTTGTCTCTCCGTGTTTGACCATTGGGCCATCGTTCCTGGTGATCCCCTTGATAAGAGCATTGTTTTGCGGCCTCTTGAGCCAGCACCAATACAGCACCTTGCTCGTGAATTCATGGTGAAGACAAGACGTAGAAAGGTTAGACCTTCTGCTAATTTTTGTTCAGTCTTTTCTCGCATACAAGTGCTGTTGTATGCTATGCATGCATGGCTTTATATTGCTCTTTGCACACTAACCGAACTTCAAAACTTGAAATTCACACGTGTCTTCGTAATTATATGTTTTATTTCCCGAAACTGGTTTAATGCCTAAGAATTTTCTCTAACAATTGCCTAGAAATATCTTACATTGAAGAAGCTGCATGATTTAAAAAAGAATTATGTTGGCTGCATAGAGTCTTAACAAAAACAATCAACTTTATTGGATGTGTTGATGTTAAAGGTATACCCTACCTAGGATTTAATATTGTGTAAATTTTTTTTTTGACAACCAAATGTCTTAGGGTCAAATGTTTGTCTCGTGAGAATAGTTGAGTTGTGCATAAGTTGACCCAACCACTCCGGGATTAAAAAAAGAAAATACATTTGCTAATTCTTTTTCCTATAGCTTGAAGAAAATGAAAACTGAGAGTTCTTGCCTTAATATGTTGGCTGTACTGGGATTTGCAGGGAATGAGCGAGGATGTGAGCATAAACAAGTTCTTCGATGAGGCCATGATGGTCGAGCTGGCTCAGCAAGCAGCCGATCTTCATCAACAAATGATATAATTGAAGCTCAGGTTGGTTGATACAAACCAACAATATTGTACCAGTTGCAGACTTCATCCAAGCATGGTTTTACCTGTTTTGTTGGTGAAACCCAAGTGTTGTACCATAGTTGTTTCTTTTCACTTTCCCCCAACATCCTGCCTCGAGTCAACAACCATTATTCTCACAGGAGCGAGGCAGGCAGCCTGAGATTTATCGTTCTTTATCTTCAGAGAATTGCCCTGGTGCTCACCTGTCTGCTAATTCTGAGGGACATAGAAGCTGAATATATATTTTAGCAATTTTTACTTGTGATGTTTAGAGTATGCCTTAACCTTGTAATGTAAAACGAGGAAAGAAAATTTGGTTGCATTTACATGTTGAGATTACTTAGTGATATATTCATGTTTTGTAGGTATTAGACCAAATTAGAAATCCGATTTCCGATTTTCAATTTGGAGGGATCTCTTGAAGTCCTATTTTAATTCTTGAAAGTGGTTTGGTTTAATTTCGGTTTCTTTTTCGACTGCAACGAAATTGAATCCATGGTAGGATCATTATCAAATTTAGGGTTTAGGGTTTATTATGTTTCAACTGAATTTCTTATTTATTTCAGTTTCAACAAAATATATCATAAAGTTCATTTTGATTTCTATAATCTTTTTGCAGGTTCTCCCTTGGTTATTTTTGGTAACCAGCAAAAGAAAACAAAGTAGAGACAAGATGCAGGGACATTTAACCATCAATTTGGTAACAATCAAGAAAAGGAAGTGTAATTATACAGTTCCAAAATTTTTTGTTTAAGATCCTAATTTCCATTCTGTTTCATGAGGCATCACCCAAAATAAGCTCAATAAAATGACACAATGAAGAGCTGAAACTTTCTACCCCATGAAAGCTCATTGTGTACACAACAACAAACTCTAATCCATTGGTTTAGTATCAAACCTCTGGCCAATTAACAACAAAGAATGTCTTAATTTTCTATCCTTCTAGATGAAATTTGAGGTTCTGAAGTGCCTCTGCAGATATGCTTCTTCTAAATCTTGGCCTCTGAAAAACTACAGGTGGTGGAGGCTCCAAGTGAAAGCTAACCAAGACTACTGTTAAATTGTCTGTTGCTCCTCTCTTTATGGCTTCCTCTACTATTTCCTTGCAGCAAACTTTTGCATCATTGTGCTCTTGGAGCCTCCTCCGAGCAAAATCGACAGCGTTCTGGCTCGTGAAGACGTCCCATATTCCATCACTACCGATGATCAAGAACTCGTGCTCTTTTGTCAATGTCATTAATCTTAGTTCTGGTTCGGCACTTAATGGTCCACCTTTTTCACTTATTTCCTTCATTCCTTCAAGATGCCAATCTCCTATAGCACGTGTAACCCCGAGCAGGCCGTTTAGATAATCGTCATCAATGAATCCACCCAAGGCCTCGACTCGCTTTCTTTCTTTTGTGCAGCATGGCCTGTGGTCTTTTGACATTTCTATTGCACGTCCTTGTCTTGACAGTACTGCTCGGCAATCGCCAGCGTTTGCTACGAGCAAAGACCTGTTTGAAATGACGAAAAATATAAAAACCGCTTCGCAAGTACCGAAAATCTAAATTCCGATGAAGCAAGTGATTACCTTCCAAATATCATTGCAGTCAGTGCAGTTGTGCCAGAAGACAGAGATGTTTCAAGAGTGCAAGATCTAGCAAAAGCTGCATCAGTCTCCATAAATGATCTCGTAACCACCTTTTCGAGCTCTAAAGGAAAGTCGGAATCTTCAACAATGACTCTCGGCAAGTGGTCACGAACAAATTGTGCGGCGCCTTTTCCTCCATGACCATCAAATACCTATTTGTTCATGCAAAGCCAATTATTTATGACAAGCTGAATATCAGAAGTTTCTACTCATATGGTTTTTAACAAAGCATAGAGCCTAGATCTAATATCGTGCTATATTATTCAGTCTGAAATCCACTCTCAAGAGGAGGGGCTTAATACAATGAACTCAGCTGCCAGCACCTTTTTTTGGTACAAATAGAAACCTTGCAGATAGGACTAGGTCTAAACAAATGTATATGTTTCTATATATGGCTAGAGATGAGCTACAGAAACTAGCTCTACCAATAGACCCGAGCGCTTGGTTGACTCCAATTACCGGAGCCATATTGAGTCTTGTTTAAAGTAGCTATCTGTGAGATCCCACGTCGGTTAGAGAAGGGAACAAATGCCAGCGAGGACGATGGGCCCTGAAGGGGAGTGAATTGTAAGATCCCACATTGGTTGAGGAAGAGAACAAAATAATCTTTATAAGGGTGTGGAAACCTCTCCCTTGTAGACGTATTTTAAAAACCTTGAGGGAAAGCTCGAAAGAGAAAGTCCAAAGAGAACAATATATGTTAGTGGTGGGATTGTGCTGTTACATTATCTCTATGTACACCATCCATATACGATCGCAGCGATCTCAGGCCTTCCCTTACCCTATTCCTTACTGAACAACGGAAATAATACTATTGAACCCCACAAGCCAAATGCTTCCCTACCAGTACAACTTGCATTGGCTAAAAGTAATTAACACATATATTCCTTGATCTGTTCCTTCTTCCTACGTCCAGCATATGTAGAACAGACCACGGCTTACCGATGCTACCCAACGAAACATATTACCTTGTCCTCAAAGTGGAAAGTAGGGAATGACTGCTTGATTTCTTTTTTTTTAAAAAGAAAGAAAGAATGAAAGAAATTGTGAGATCTCATGTCGTTTGGAGAGGAGAACGAAACATTGCTTATAAGGGTGTTGAAATCTCTTCCTACCATACGCATTTTAAAACCTTGAAGAGAAACCTAGAAAGGAAAACCCAAAGAGGACAATATTTGCTGGCGGTAGGCTTAGGTTGTTACTAATGGTATCAGAGAGCCAGATACCGGCCGGTGTGCCAACGAGAACGCTGGCCCCCAAGGGGGGTGGATTGTGAGACCCCACACCAGTTGAAGAGGAGAACGAAGCATTGCCTATAAGGGTCGAAAACCTCTCCCTACTAGACGTGTTTTAAAACCTTGAGAGGAAGTCTGGAAGGGAAAGCCCAAAGAGAACAATATCTACTAGTGGTGGGCTTGGGTTGTTACTAATGGTATCAGAGCCAGACACTGAGCGGTGTGCTAGCGAGGATACTGGGCCCCAAGAGGGGTGGATTGTGAGATCCCACGTCGGTTGGAGAGAAGAACGAAGTATTGCTTATAAGGGTGTAGAAACCTCTCCCTACCATATGTGTTTTAAAACCTTGAGAGCAAGCCCGGAAGAGAAAGCCCAAAAAGAACAATATTTGTTAACGGTGAGCTTGAGCTGTTACAAAAACACTAATTTCCTAAACTTTGTCCAAAATTTAACGTATATGGTTTTGGGTCTCAACTCTCAAGTGGTATTCTTGTGCAAAAAAATGTTAGAAGATTGGATCATGTATTCTACCAATTTGGTTGAAGATTTGAAGCAAGTGTCTTAAATGTTTGTTGTCAATTTGACGACCGTATGCTATATATGGAGTATTAGTTGTTGATAAGATCCTATTGGACGTGGCCTCCACAAAGGTGCCTTACGATACACCCCCACCTAATCAATAGACTCCACCACCTTGCCTATTTGCATCTCACCCAGGGATGGACAGTCTCTACCATATAAAGCTCAAAAGTGCATGGTTCAGGTAGATTTCTGGTTGGACATGTACGTTTTTAGACATCTTGTTAGATTCTCACACAATATAGGCCTGCAACTACTCATGCAAGTCTTAAGCACCCTAACTCGTCACACACACTCAGCTTATAACGGCCCAGATCCACCGCTAGCATATATTGTCTTCTTTGGGCTTTCTCTTTCAGGCTTCCCCTCAAGGCTTTAAAACGCGTATGCTAGGGGAAGATTTTTACACCCTTATAAAGAGTGTTCTGTTCTCCTCCCCAACCAATGTGGCTCAGATACCACTAAAAAAACATGGTCTAACTAAATGCAGTTTGTTTTATGGTTAAGAGGAGAACTATAAGAGCAAAATTCCACCACGGGCAGATATTGTCCTCTTTGGGCTTTCCCTTTTGGGCTTCCCCTCAAGGTTTTTAAAATGCGTCAGTTAGGGAGAGGTTTCTACACCCTTATAAAGAATGCTTCATTCCCCTCTCCAATCGATGTGGGCATAATCCACACCCCTTCGAGACCCAGCGTCCTCATTGGCACTCGTTCTTCTTTCCAATTGATGTGAGATCTCACAATCCACCACCTTTGGAGCTCAATGTCTTCGCTGGCACACCGTCCGGTGTCTGGCTTTGATCCCATTTGTAAGAGACCAAGCCCCTAGCGGTGGGCTTGGGCTATTAAAAGAACGGTCAAAACAAGCTCTACCAAGAAATCCAAGAGTATGATTCCTCCCTAGTATCCAACAAAGAATCTGGCATAGATTCAAATTTCTCCTTATTTAGATCATTCACGAACATTCTCAACCAACTCCTATGCTCAAATCCTAGCTGAAACTGTTATATCCATGGATAGACTTAAAGTTCAGATTCTGTCAGTTTCTCATCTCAAATGAGAATTATTCACTAGAACTCATAGAGGAAACTCTCAAATCAGAGTATAAACCTCAGGAAATAACAGTTATACTCTGCTCTAACACAATAGTTCATTTAATCTGAACTGTAACTGCAGTACACAAAATATATACTTGAACTTACCCCGTAGAAGGAGACAGCTTCCTCGTTGAGAAAACTACAGCCGAACTTCTTAGCCATGTCATGAATGCATACATGAGTGTCCTCCATATAAGGACGCTTTCCGATATCAGACCATTCTCCTGATCTAAGTGCCAGAACAAAAGTAGATGGGTTGTCTTTCCGATCTATAAATGCAGCATCCTCGGAAATGCTTTCGAGCTACATAAACCAAAAGAAAGGAAAAATCAACAAGTTGGGAGGAATGTAAAGCCAATACATAAATTTGACGAAACTAAAGGAAATATTTAGTTCATGCTATGAAAATTAGTCGTCCAGCAGTCGGATGAATCAATTCTTCCACACAACCACATCAAAACAGAATTTAAAAAATGAAAGCTCTTCAAGGAGCCAGGTTAACAACTAACGAAGAACCAAAGCGAACCCATCTAGTTATAAAGAAGTTTCAACAGACGTGATTTTCGAAAAATCTATCGGTTCAGATCAATCAAGCCATACAAGTATTCAATTTCAGGGAAGTCTTGGTCAGTTTGAATCCATATCAACTAACAAGACTTAACATTCTAGAGTTAGCCTTCGTTCGTACAAGGGAGACCAGGGGAAATTCAACGACTCAAAGGCTCAAAGGTGGTATCAGTTGGCATAGTTTGCCTTTATACACGGCAAGTAAATCTCGGTGGATTACAAGACAAACGAACTCGTAGTCAAGGTTACAGAGATGCATTCTTAGGAAAAAAAAAAAAAAATCAACAAACAGTTCAACAAAAAGATCCTATTAACATGAAGTAGTAATCATGAATAGAACAGTTCTTATTGGTTTTTCTCCCTTGTCCTTTTCTTTTGGTCCATCTCCAGGGACCATAAATTAAAGTAAAAATTGTACAAGCTACGCAAACAAGAACCTTTTTTCTAGACTAAGAAAACCGCATTTAAAACATGAAAGGACCTAAGTATCAGAATCTTTTAAGAAGCACATTAACGACAAAAAGTAGCTGTTCCTGAAACGCAAGTACTTTCAAATCAATTACAGTGAAGGGGAAAAAACTAAACTATATTTGAATATTAACAAACAGATTTGGAATTAGCAAATCCGGATAGAACCAGAAAAGAAACCATTAGATCAAATTAACACAGAGCTGAATTTAAACCCACCAACAGTTCATACGCACCCCCAAACACACAGAAAAAAGGGGGAAAAAAGTGTCCAAATACATGGATTATCAGCTACATTCAGTTAAGAACCAAATTCATGGTACCCATCAGAGAATTCGATAAAAGAAGAACAACAGAACAAATTTATCGCAAATTTCAACAAAGATCCAGCAAGAAAGAGGAAAACCCAGTACGAATCTAACAGAAATCCAGCATGAAAGAAGAGAAAAAAAAAAAAACCCTAGAAATTGAGTGAGAAGGAAGCGAAATTCATACAGGAAAAGAATTCCCAGAGCGGGTTCGATCGCTAGTTCCAATGAGAGCAGGCTGCTTATCAGGATTCCCCATCTGATTCTGTAAAAAATCACAATGCAACGGCCAAGGCATGGTATTATTAACCCCAGAATTTGGCCTCTCAGTCCCAACCTGCTCTGCATCCGTCACACACATGACGATAAAAAAGAAGAAAAATAAAAAGTGGTAAGAACTTTGGTGGTTCAGTTTGTGTTCAACTTGCAGTGGGTGGGAATCCAAAGTAACAGAAGAAAGCACAAAGGTAGAGAGAGAAAACAGAGCAAAATAATGGAGAGGTTGAAGAAGATTCTCAGAATATGTACTCACAAATTCAGAAATCAAAAACAAAAACGAAAAGAAAAAGGGGAAAACCTGTGTTTTTGAGGAACAAAAACACTGAGAAACAACAAAAACAAACAAAAACAGAAAAAAAGGAAGAAATATGGAGCGTTGAGTCAACAAGAACTTTCCGGATTTCTTTTAATTATTTTTTCATATATATATAATATTGTACTTTAAAAAAATTTATTATTATTATTATTATTATTATTATTATTATATTTTTTAAAATTATTATTGAAATATTGTGGTTTTTAATTCACATAGCCATCAAACATTGTGTTGAGATGAGAATGCATTAACTAATTAATAAATAAATAAATAAGTTTTCCATTTTTATCATAAATGATATGTTTTAAAATATTAATTTAGTTTCTAATTTAATAATTTCATAACTATATATATATATTAAATTTTAATTTTATTTATTAAGAAAACAATTGTATATACATGATAATTTATAACTGAATGAGTGCAACGAGGCGAATGTCGCCAATGATGAAGTGATTGTCAACGACGACTTATTGGTGCCTAATGTTGCTCTTTTGGTTCCTTTGCGAGTTCTTTAGGGTATAACTAACTATTGTTCATGCTCTTTGTGTCCCCACGAGTATATGATGATGAGGGACCGGCCTCACTGTGAGCCTAAGATGAGGGATCAACCCGAAAAACATAATATTGTGATCCAAGTGTCAACATTATTACCTGAAGTGAAAGAGTTGAGATCATCTTGTGTTTGAGTTTGAGTAATAGGAGACATGTATTCAACGTTGTGATGAACTTCATTATATGTAAATAGGTGCAATATCTTCTGGAATTTTCTCTCTCCAAGCACGTATTCGAGTTTTTATATTTGACACATGTAATTATATATGCACTACTACTGTAAGACGCTCTATTCGTAACACCTACTAGGGTTTTTATATTTGAACACATAAGTTGTATACGAATCTCAATGTGCATCAATTGTAGCACTGACAACCACAAAGTATCTTTGTGAACTCCATCGCACTACATAGAGTGCAAGCTCGACGAACGAATCCATTAGGGAGATAGCCATTAAACATTGTAAAAATTTGTGAGCGTATGTACTGAGTGGAAGGATATCGATCAAATCTATGTATAATTTCAAACAATGGTGAGTTATTAAATATATGAGCTGCATGCTTCACATTTCTTGAATAATTAATGGGCAAAGAAAAGGTTAGAGAGATGATAATTTTTTATTTTTCCTTTTTAAACAAAAAAAAGAATGCAATATTAAATATTAATAAAGATATTGATGTAGGGACAATAAAATTTTGTCACCTTCCCTATGTATTTTTTATGAATGTTTGGTATTCCATCCCTACAATATAGGCATCTATGGGGATACCTACCTTTTCAATTTATATATTCTAACTAATATCGATTATCAAAAAGTATTATTCGGGTGAATTATAAATAATTTTTTTAAAAAAATTGTGAATTTTGCCACGTGTTTGAATAGCTGAGTAAGAACTGTTTAGAATGTTGGACAAAAATTGAGCCTTTGAACAATATGATGATAGGTGAGATCCCGCATGGAACAGAGAGAGGAACAATGTATTTTTTTTATAAGGGTGTGAAAACCTCTCTCTAATATATATGTGTTTCATAATTGTGATATGTAATGAACAATATTTGCTACCGATGAGCTCAAGAGGGATTGTGAGATCTTACATTGATTGGAGTGAGGAACAACCTTATAAGAATTTGGAAACTTTTCCCCAACAAACGTGTCTTTAAATTGTGAAATTGACGACTATAGATAATATTTGAATGATTACAGAGAAACTTGAGAGGAAAATTGAACCTAACTCAAAGTAACCCATAAATTTATAATAATTTAGGGACCAAAAACTAAATTTATATTTTACTATTAAAATAAAAGCAAAGTAACCCATCACTTTAATAAAATTAAAGTAGATATTAATTAATTAATTAAATATATATATATATATTTATTAAATTGAAAGGTCAAATATTCATAAATTTAGAAGGGTATGCCATTTTGATTCTGTTCACACTACCATTTTGTCATATATGGCCACGCAACACAACCACTAACCTCAAATTTTATTTTATTTTATTTTATTTTATTTATTATTATTATTATTATATTTTTATTTTTGCATTTTCGAGTCTTATTCATTTATTTTTATTTTTTTTCTCAATCTCCCAAAAAAGGGACAAATTTGCCTAATAAGCCAAAGAACAATTTGTATAGTTCATTAATAATAATATTATTGTAAGATTTTTTTTTTAATCATTAGTTAAGTCGGTGGGACTTAAACAATCTGAACTACCCAACCCAAACCATTCGGGTTGGGTTAAAGTCTTTTCAGATGATTACAAAAATTAAAAATATTGATATAGACTTTTCACCCACAAGCCGCTGCACATAAGAACAAAAAAAGTGTGCAAATAGCCTATGAAAAACTATCTTATCTCTTGATACAAAGGTTCGTAAAATGGTCCCCAGGTGATCAAAATGGTACTACCCAACGGAGCCTAATAAGGTGGGATCTGAAGGCTCAATCTATCAAAGCATACAAGAAGGATCGACATTGACAGAAAGAGGCAAAGTCGAGAAAGCAGAGTATACAGTACGAAATTTGGTAGTGATCTACGTTCACTGTTCTATGTTCTATGTTCTATGTTCTATGTTCTATGTTCTATGTTCTATGTTCTATGTTCTATGTTCTATGTTCGGGGTGTGATAGTTGCCCCAATATTATAAGTAGCAATCACATGGAATGAGTTAAATAAGCAGCAAGACAAGAGATTGGGACGTTTAGAAAGGCATTAGAAAGAATCTAAATCCACAGCCACTTGGAGCATGTAAAGGAACATATTAAAGGGACTACCAGGTTTCCTGCCTTGGCTTGGAGGATGCCAACCCCAACAAATCCTTTTCTATGGACAACCCAACCCAACCCTTGAAAAGATGCCTTCTTTTGTTGCATCTCTAATCCAACAATGGCCAACTTTTTATAGGTTAATGCCAACGAAGTAGAGCCCCACCAAACAAGTGGTGGACCCTATTGGAACCTAAGACAGCTAAGTTTATCGTGGAAAGCCTTTCCTGTCTCCATCTCTGTCTCTTATTTCATTCCTAATCCTCGGGACAATCAGTCTCATATTATTAAAACTGAAGAGCATTCGAATGCCTGTAAGTCGACCACTAGAAGTTGGTACCTTCAAAACCTCAAATTTTCCAAAAACAAGACAAGAAATCTCAACAAATAGAACACAATAAAACAGTTTTTAATCCTACTACATCTTGTTTTCGACATAACTCATAGTATTATTTACGTCGCTCTTATTAACCATTGGGTCACAACCCATGGTTTCGAACACTGAGGGAAACCTAATAAACACCGACAATATTAGTCAAATATCTCGAGCATCTAAGCATGTTAAACAAGTCACAAACAAAGAATTCATAATCTTCTGACATTTAGAGTTCAAACCAAACCATATGTATACCCAGATGAGATCATGGATAGCAAAGGCAAAATGTAATAAATGATACGATTCTTTTGTGCAATTACTCTTTTACTCTTCCATATAGATATTGTTGCAACCTGAAAAGGCCAAATGCAAAGGGAAAGATGAGTGTTGGCGCACCACCATGCAATTTCAGAGTTCCAAGAAGCATTCAAATCAACGTAGAATCAGCTAAAAGCACAAACTTGAGTTTGATCTAATAGTTTTAATGGCCATTCACATATATGGAATCACTGTAAATTCGAAAAATGCTTTCATTTTCCTTCTTTTCCATTTTGGGTCCAGACGCTGGGCAAAGGGGTAAAATAGTAATGTCACACGATATCGTACAAGGTGATGGGGAGGGCGGGGCTAGGGGAGAGCGGGGAATTGCAAAGAAGAGAATGAAAAATAGTACACTTAATTCGCAGAGGCTGTGGCGCTCCTCGCAACTTGTGAAGGGAATTTCACCATTGATTCGGTTTTGTGATAACTTCCCCAGAAGTTTGAAGGTGCAACTTCAGATTAAGATCCCGGAATCTCTGGTCGCCTTTTCTTGGATCAATCTTTCTGCAATAAAGGAACGTAAAAAAGGATAACTCTGCTTAGCATTACTGACATCATATTTATAAATGTTCCATTGACTAGCAATGTAATAGCCCAAGCCTACCGCTAGCAGATATTGTTCTCTTTGGACATTCGCTTCTAGGCTTTAAGGTTTTAAAACATCTATTAGAGAGAGATTTCCACACCCTTGTAAAGAATGCTTTGTTCCCCTCTCCAACCAATGTGGGATTTCACAACCAATTCTACCAATTCTATCACAAAGAGACACAACAGTCAAACACACCATAAACGAAATGCACAACACAGCGGAAAAATATAGGTAAGTATATTTCTAGACAAACCCGTTACACTAAGACCCACAGAAACACGTATGGGTTCAGGGACAGGATCCCTCGAATATTGGGTAGTTGTTATTAAACCAGGTAGAACACTTTATGAAATGAGTGGAGTAGCCAAAAATATAGCCAGAAAAGCTATTTCAATTGCAGCATAAAAAATGCCTATACGAACCCAATTCATCACTTCGAGACAGAAATGTAGAATCAAAGGAAAGTGGTCTGCCTCACTTCAGTGAATCTATCTGTGTTCATACTTGCATTTGCAAGCACAATAGACATAACATGCATTATATTACCAACCTCAGAGTCAAATTAAAACAACATTATCTGGTGATATGCATGCATGGAATGATTACAGAAATCGATAATTTCACAGCAAGAGCACCTTTTGACGTTTTGTAC